CGAAATGTAATTTCGACAAGGGGGAAATTCTTAAGGCACAATTAAATTACATCTTGGAGCATAGGCGCAACTAGGGGGGTACTTGGGGGTGCTAAGCACCCCTAAAGCAAAAATCAGCACTCCCATTCGGCATCCCACCATAGCACTACCTACAGTGGTACTACCTAAAACTAATATAAAAAATCAATGCAACCAAATTATTTTTTTTTTTTTGTACTTTTTGTACTTACTTACGTCATCGATGACGTCATAATTTAGAAATTTTAGATTTTACTATCACTTCTCCGCGATTCTAAATTAACTTTTTCGCGATTGTAAATCCACTTTTCCGCGATTCTTATCTCACTTTTTCACGAATTTACACTAGCTTTTTTTGAAATTTTCGACTCTCTTTTTTGCGATTTTGTCCTTACTTTTTTTGCGATTTTAGCCCCATATTTTTGCGATTTTACCCTCATTCCTCCGCGATTACAAACTTATTTTTCCGCTATTTCATCCTCATTTTTCTTCATTTCAAAATTAGGAGAATAACGATCATTTTTGAAAAGTTACGAAAAATTACGAGAATTACGTTAAAGTACGTAAAATATGAAAAATTATGAGAATTGCAAACATTTACGAGAATTACGGAACATGACGAGAATCACTGAATAAAAAAAAATTGTGGGAATTACAAAAATTATGGGAATTGCCAAATATAACACAAAAGAATTACGAAGTTACTCCAAAATTACGTCAATTATTTAAATATTACTAATTTTTGAAAAGTTACGAAAACTTACTAGACAAATTACGGGAATCACGAAAAATAATGAGAATTAAAATGACGGAAATGACAAAAATTTACGGGAATTATGAGAAATTATAAAAATTACGGGAATAAAGGAAAACACGAAAAACTACGAGAATTACAAAATATATATTACGGGAAAGAATTACAAAGTTATTCCAAAATTACGTGAATTACGGTAATTCCTAAAATAACGGAAATCACAAGTTTTTAAAATTACGAGAATAAGAAAACTCTCAATTATTTTGGAAATTAGGAAAGTTGAAAATTGAAAAATTGGAAATACAAATAATTACTGAAATTACGAAAACATCGCGATGGAAAAAGCACGAAAAATTGCGGACAAAACGAAAATTACCAAGTTTTCCAAAAATAAAAAAAGGGGGAATTAAAAAATAACAAGAATTATCTGAGAAATGACAGGAATCAAAAAATTTCGAAAATCCCCCAAAAAAAATACGGAAATTAACAACTTTCGAAAATTTAGGAGGAATAATTATAGAACTAACGGAGTTCTTATGAGAAATTAAGGAAATTAAAAAATTACGGAAATAATGGGAATTACAAAAATTTCAAGTTTTTCGAAAATTGTAAAAACTAAGAGGGTATTATGAAAATAACGATAATTATCTGAGAAATGACAGAAATTACAAAATTTCGAAAATTCCCAAAATAAAATACGAAAATTACGAGAATTACATAATTTCGAAATTATGGAAATAACGGAGTTTTCTGAGAAATTACAGAAATTAAAAAATAACGGAAATCTGAAAACTACAGGAATTATTCAAAAATTATGAAAAATACGAAAAAATCACTGGAATTAAAAAAATTGTGACAATTTTCAAAAAATTACGAAAATAACAAGAATTACAATAAGTTACGGGATTCACGAATTTTCCGAAAATTGCAAAAACTAAGGGAAAATTATGAAATTAACGACAATTTCATGAGAAATGACGTGAATTTGAAAATTTTCGAAAATTCCAAGAAAAAAAAAATTACGGGAATTACCATATTTTGAGAATCACAACAAACTTGGGGGGAATTATAAAGATAACGGAGTTTTTTGAGAAATTACGGTAATTACAAAATTACAAAAATTTGAGGAACTACAGGAATTATAAAAATTGAAAGAAATAAGAAAAAATCACGGGAATTGCGAAAAAATTACGATAATTTTCGGAAAGTTACAGGATTTATGAAAAAGTTACGGGAATTACGAAAATTACTAAGAAAGAAATTACAGAAATAATGAAAATTCACAAAAAAAAAATATAATTGAAAATTACGGGAATTACGAATTTTTGAAAATAACAAAACCTTAGGGGGAATTATGAAACAAGTAACTGAATATTTTCAGAAATTACGGAAATTAAAAAATTACGAAAATCTGAGAAACAACAGGAATTATTCAAAAATTATGGGAATTACAGAAAAATTACGATGAATTTTGGAAAGTTACAAAAAATTAAGGAAATTACGAAAAAGTTATGGGAATTACGAAAATTACGAGTTTCACGAAAATTGCAAAAACTAAGGAAAAATTATAAAAATAACGAAATTTATTTGAGAAATAACGGCTTTTAACAATTTTTTTTTCGCAATTTCACCTTCACTTTTCCGCAATTTCAAAGTCCAAACTCACTTTCTCGCAATTTCAACAAATTTTTCCGCGAATTTTGCTTCACTTTTCCGTTATTCTTGCCTCATTTTTTAATAAGTATAACCTCACTTTTCCGCGATTTTCGCCTCACATTTCCGCAGTTTCAACCTAATTTTTTCATAATCTTTACTTTTGTTTTTCGTATTTATAACCTCATTTTTTCTCGATTATAACCCTGCTTTTCCCCCATTTTTACTCAAATTTTTCGCAATTCCAACCTCATTTTTCTGTAATTTTCACTTCTATTTTTCGTAATTCTAACGTCACTTTCCTGCGATTTTGACACTCACTTTTTCGCAATTTTTGAAAAGTTACGGAAATTACGGAAAATTGCAGGAATTACGAAAAATTACTGGAATTATAAAAATAAAGAGAATTACGCAAATTACAAAAATTATAGGAATTACGAAAATCACGAATTTTTGAAATTATGAAAATTACAAAACTTAGGAGGAATTCAAAAATAACGAAGTTTTTTAAAAAATTACGGGAATTACGAAAAAAATATGATTTTTGAAGTTATGGAAAAAGTTACGGGGGAATTACGAAAATTATGAGTGTTTCGAGAATGCAAAAACTAAGGGAAAATTGACTTTTTTAAGCAAAACTCATTTTCTTACATTTTATTTTTATTCTAGAAAACTGGCAAAAGGATAATTGTGAAAATTTTCTAGAAAAAAAAGGAAAGTGAGGATCTCATTGAAATTGAAAACTAAATTTCAAAATTTTCCAGTGAAAAATCACGTCTGGAAAAATTCTGGAAAATTGACTTATTTAAGCAAAATTAAGGAAAATTCATGCTCTCACATTTCAATTTATTTCTGGAAAACTAATAAAGCAAAACTTGTGAAATTTTTCAAGGAGAAAGAAGAAAATGAGGAGCTCATTATTGGAATTTCAAAATTTTCTAATGCAAAATCACTCCAAGGAAAGTTCTAGAAAATTGACTTTTTTAAGCAAAATTCATAATTTTACATTTCAATTTTTTTCTGGAAAATTAGCAAAGCAAAAATTGTGAAATTTTTCCAAAAGAAAAAGGAAACTGAGTAACTCATTATAGGAAAATTTCAAAATTTTCGAATAAAAAATTCTGGAAAATTGACTTTTTCAAATAAAATTAAGGAAAATTTATCCTTTTACATTTTAATTTTTTTCTGGAAAACTAGCAAAGGGAATATTTCGAAAATTTTCCAGGAAAAAGAAGAAAGTGGGGAGCTCATTATATAAAAATTTCAAAATTTTTCAGTGAAAAATCACTCCAGGAGAAATTCTGAAAAACCGACTTTTAAGCAAAATTCATTCTTTTAATTTCAATTTTTTTCTGGAAAACTGGCAGAGAGAGAATTTCAAAATTTTTCAGTAAAAAATCACTCCAGGAGAAATTCTGAAAAACCGACTTTTAGGCAAAATTCATTCTTTTAATTTTAAATTTTTTCTGGAAAATTGGCAGAAGGAAAATTTCAAAAATTTTCCAGTGAAAAAAACACTCTAGGAGAAATTTTATTTATATATTTTCGGATAACTGAATAAATTCTCTTGTAAGTTAAAAAATGTATTACAAAACGATAATTCCGAAGGTGCTCCATGAATTAATCTATGACATAACTTTTTCTCTAAAAATGGTGCTGCAGCACCCCTCAAATTTGGAGCCTAGTTACGCTTATGTCTTGGAGGTTGACATGTAACTTGATTAGGTTATCAAAAAAATAATCACTTCATTAAATAATTGTAATTTAGCTAGTGCAACTATTAATTAATCTAATTATCCGGCTCGGCAATTAGAAAGCGGGCTGCACTAAAAGGGAATAAATTTTAAGGTACAAAAGGGCTAGTTTCGGGTTTATTATTCTAGCATTTCAGTTTTCGCGCTGGCTCCTCTAAAATAAAGTTGATTATAAAGCACTAATCAGGGGGAATAAAATCGGCTTAGACGCACGAGTCACGTTTCGTAGTTTTGTAATTTGTCTTCGTTATCTGTTATTTTGTTTTAGTACGGATTTTCCAGGCTTGCGTTTTCGTTTGAATCTAATATACACCTTGTTTTGTGTGTAATTGGAGTGTTAAAAAAAAAAAGAAAACACACAACAATGTTGTAGACTATAAAGGCAAAAGATCAAAGGGCCCCAGTGTGTGTGTGCCAGAGTTGATTCTCTTGTTGTCTTTCCGGTCCATTTGGCTTGGAAATGAAATTACAGACGAGTAAAGCAAACTACTTCGGAATGAAAGTAGCTGGTAAGTGCTTTGCTGTGAGGCACAAAAGGATTTCTCAATGTTAAACTATTCACAAATACAAATATTAAAGTTAAAATGCGCTCGACTCGAGCCGGTAATTTCATTTTCGACTCCTCCAGGCATCTAAAGCTTGAAGAGAATGGCAAACACATTTTCGTCCATGCCTTTGATCCTGCTGCCTAGTCCAGAGAGTGGACACAAATATTGATGTTGCTTTAGAGATGTATATTTAACATATCAAGATTATTATTGCAGTAGAACTTTAAGCCCAAAGTATATTTATTTTTCCATATAATATAATATACAACAAAATTACAACTCTCTAGTTTTTATAATTTTTCTGTAATATTTGGCAGACTGTTTTGCAGTCCTAGGTCTTGCAGGATCATTAAAATTGACATGATACAAACCAAATTGCGCCCTGAAATAATTCAAAATAATATTGTAATAATGTGCAAATAATCAAGTTACGTGTAAGCGTATTGGAAAAAGAATGAATCAATCAATGACCACACGGAAAAATATTGAAGGTCCACTCTGTCCTCGTTGATTACTAATGAAACTTGCTCGAAAAATTGCCGCAATTGGTTAATTCTGGATTTATCGTCGAGGGAGTCGTCATAAGCACCATAGCAAGCGCTGGCTATTGCTATTACAGGTTGTCCATAATTATCCCACACGTATTTGATGGTTTTGCGGAATCCCCAAGGAGTACTCTGAAATACTTGATGATGTCTTTAATAGTTTCCCAGATAAAATTACTTACAGTATAGAAACTATTTGGATCAACCCACTCCTTTTTGACGCTGCGTTCGATTTGAACATCCTTCTGCGCGCTGGGTGGAAATTCGACATCGAAATGATCAACTACCAAGTAAGTACTCTTGTAAATCAGTACCATAACGTCCAAGGTACCTTTTATCAGTTCCTTTTCTTCTGGGCTAAAAGGCGGCAGTCTAGATTTGTAAAAACCTTGCTCGCGACTCAGCTCGGCAATGGTATCGATCATCCTTTGCGGATAATCTCCGTTGACAAGTGGATTCGCGAACCAACCAAACTATGATAAAATTGTAGAGTAAATATGCAGCAAGGGTTCTAGGCCAAAATCGGGCATGTAAATTTCCATAAGAAAATCTATTCTGGCAATTTTTGTATCCGTTCAAGGTCATCCGTCCAGTTCCACCCACCGCTGGTTAGTAGCACCTAGCACCTCGTGACTTGGTACTTCATTCAGGTTGCCTCGTATTGATGATGACGTAACTAATAATAAAATCCGCCTCGTGCTTTGTCTAATTGCAGATGTAAGTTGCACGAGGCGAGAGCCAACTTTTAGGTTATGTAAATGGGGCCCGGAGAACAAAGCGGCAGAAATTGGGGGCCCGTAATACAGGTCAGTTCAATAACTGTATCAGACCAGTCTCTAGACCTGTATAGCTGTATACAGACCTGTTTCTAGACATAGCTGTATGTTATGTCTTCAACCATAGGCGTTAGAATTTCAAAATTACTATGGGGGCTCGGGCTCTAAAAATTAACATAAGTAGAATTAATTAGACGGGCAGGACTAGGCTACTAGACACATATACTCAAACAGTACTAGTTGACAAATACCCATTTCACTGCAGGATCACCACGCTGGATCATTGATCGTCCCTGCATATTATTAAAACTCGTGCATCTTCGGCAGCTATAGGTACTCGGCTTTCCGGCAGCTGGATTTTGCCTTGGGGGGAAGGGAAATTTGCAGGAAGTGATCTTTGCAGCTCCGCCGCAAGCGCAGCAGGTAGGAAAGCGCCGCAGGCGCGAAATTTTTAGGTTTTTTTTAAGGTATTTTTGGTATTTCTAATTCAAATTTGTTTTATCTTATTGGAAAGCCTTTAAATTATGATTTTTAAAAGTTTGAAGTTGCCCAAAAAATTGGCCTATGTTTGACAGCCTGTCAAACTATTTTTCATAAAATTTTCCAAGTTGAATTAGAAAAAAAGTCATAAATTTGCTTCTGAACCAAATATTGACTTCAAATTTATTTTATCTTATTGGAAAGTCTTTAAATTATGATTTTTAAAAGTTTGAAGTTGCCCAAAAAGTTGGCCTATGTTTGACAGCCTGTCAAATAATTTTCCATAAAATTTCCCAAGTTGAGTTAGAGAAAATGTCATAACTTTGCTTCTGAACCAAATATTGACTTCAAATTTGTTTTATCTTATTGGGAAAACTTCAAATTATGATTTTTGAAAGTTTGAAGTTGTCCAAAAAGTTGGCCTATGTTTGACAGCCTGTTAAACAATTTTCCATAAAATTTCCCAAGTTGAATTAGAAAAAATGTCATAACTTTGCTTCTGAACTAAATATTGAATTCAAATTTATTTTATCTTATTGGGAAGTCTTTAAGTTATGATTTTTGAAAGTTTGAAGTTGCCCAAAAAGTTGGCCTATATTTGACAGCCTGTCAAACAATTTTTCATAAAATTTCCCAAGTTGAATTAGAAAAAAAGTCATAACTTTGCATCTGAACCAAATATCGAGTTCAAATTTATTTTATCCCTTTGGGAAGTCTTCAAATTATGATTTTTAAAAGTTTGAAGTTGCCCAAAAAGCTGGCCTATGTTTGACAGCCTGTCAAACAATTTTCCATAAAATTTTCCAAGTTGAATTAGAAAAAAAGTCATAACTTTGCTTCTGAACCAAATATCGACTTCAAATTTGTTTTATCTTATTGGGAAGTCTTCAAATTATGATTTTTGAAAGTTTGAAGTTGCCCAAAAAGTTGGCCTATGTTTGACAGCTTGTTAAACAATTTTCCATAAAATTTCCCAAGTTTAATTAGAAAAAATGTCATAACTTTGCTTCCGAACCAAATATCGACTTCAAATTTGTTTTATCTTATTGGGAAGCCTTCAAATTATGATTTTTGAAAGTTTGAAGTTGCCCAAAAAATTGGCCTATGTTTGACAGCCTTTCAAACAATTTTTCATAAAATTTCCAAGTTGAATTAGAAAAAAAGTCATAACTTTGCTTCTGAACCAAATATCGACTTCAAATTTGTTTTATTTTATTGGGAAGCCTTCAAATTATGATTTTTGAAAGTTTGAAGTTGCCCAAAAAATTGTCCTATGTTTGACAGCCTGTCAAACAATTTTTCATAAAATTTTCCAAGTTGAATTAGAGAAAATTTCATAACTTTGCTTCTAAACTAAATATTGACTTCAAATTTGTTTTATCCTATTGGGAAGCCTTCAAACTAGGATTTTTGAAAGTTTGAAGTTGACCAAAAAGTTAGCTTATGTTTTTCTTTTTTTTCCATAAAATTTTTTCCATAAAATTTCCCAAGTTGAACTAGAGAAAATGTCATAACTTTGCTTCTGAACCAAATATCGACTTCAAATGTATTTTATCTTATTGGGAAGCCTTTAAATTATGATTTTTGAAAGTTTGAAGTTGCCCAAAAATTTGGCCTATGTTTGACAGCCTGTCAAACAATTTTTCATAAAATTTTCCAAGTTGAATTAGAAAAAATGTCATAACTTTGCTTTTGAACCAAATATCGACTTCAAATTTGTTTTATCTTATTGGGAAGCTTTCAAATTATGATTTTTGAAAGTTTGAAGGTGCACAAAAAATTGGCCTATGTTTGACAGCCTGTCAAAACAATTTTCTTATTTACTTGTCCACTGCATACAATACCAAAACAACTATGGCCGCCCCCATAGCAAATTCACTACGGGCATAGATAATCCTACTCCGGAGTAGGATTATCTTTGCTACGGGGACTCAAGCCCCCATTGCCCCCATGGCGCCTTTGTCTTCAACATCCGATGTTTTTGTACCTTTTACCTTTACCATATAACTAGTAAATGTAGAGTTTTGTGTCATTTTGTATAGTCATTTTGTCATAATTGTTGAAAATATAGAGTTGACTTGATACACACACACATACTTTACTGTATACAGGTGCTATGTGAGTTAGATGAGCCGCTTGGAGCCAGGTACGGTCAATGACCCTGAACGATGAAAGTCACGGTGACTGAAAAGGGGGCGGGGATTAACGGCGATTGGAACTGGACGGATGACCTTGAACGGTACAAAAATTGCCAGAATGGACCTTAGATTTTTTTATAGGAAAATGTCCTAGAACCCGTGCTTCACCTTTACTTTGTATATTAGGTATTCTAAAGCCGGCATCACACGACATAAGTCAAAGGAGCACGAGCCTGTTCGGGCTCGGCTCGTATACTTTCAATAAAGATTGCAACATTAGGATTGCATCCACTTAACGAGCCGCCACAAGCCCAATCCAGGCTCGTCAAACTACGCGCCGTGTAATGCCGGCTTTACGGGTTGTTCAACTTCGTACAGATTTGAACATTATCCTATAATTCCATAAGACTATAGAAGCTTTAAACTATTATTGAATTATCCAAACATTTCAAATTACATCATTATCAGTTCTTACAGTGAAGTCCAAAGCTCTTAGAGCAGCCTCGGTATCCTCTTCATTTTCCGGCTCGTACCAGTCTACACTCAAGGCAATCGACAACAAACCATTTTGTTTAGGCCGGTACTTTTCCTGGTACAACCTGTAGATACTGGCATGAGCCAGTATCACGTGACGTCCGCAAAAGTACTCGTACTGTCCGCGCGGAAAGTACTCGAACTCGTTGCCTATAAACTCGCCGAAAATCTCCTTACACATCTTGTAAGGATCTTAAACCAATTAATTTCAATACTGCTTCAAATAAAGTCGCATTTTTACCATTAAAAGTGTCCCATTTGTTTACTCGATCTCCGAATTCGCTGAATAATACGTCGGCGTATCTGATCATCGCTTCAACTGTAATAGGATTCGAAAATCCTCCATAGAAAGAAGTGTCAGCTTGGGTACCATCGTAATGGTACATCGACACTATTGGAGATATTCCTTCGGCCAATAGTCCATCTATTAATTTGTTATAATAATCGATCCCAGCTTGATTGATTGGATTGTAAGGGCCTATAATTCAAATGTAAAAAACACCTGCGGCGAATAATCAGTCAACTATTCTACCTCTTGGAATAATTCTAGAAGGAGCAACAGAGAACTTATAAAAATCCAAACCCAATTCTTTGGCTACTCTAACATCTTCCCTCCAGTTGTGGTAAGAGTCTGCCGCCACTTCAGCTTGCTCTATCAGCTCTTCCTTAGACAAATCTAAACTTTTTTCTATATAAGTAACAATTTATTTTAATTAAAATACATCTACTACCGCTAATCATGAAATCGCTTTGATTATGTACAATGTAATCCCAAAAGCTTACGCCTTTTCCATCTGCGTTCCAGCCACCTTCAACTGAAAAAGCTGCTGTAACTGCTCCGAATTGAAGATTGGCAGGAAAATCATGACCTGAGCAACTTTAAAAAACGTTGTAACAATTATTAATAATACAAGAAGTTATTTCTTACCTAAAAATAAGGCCCAGGATTATTATAATTATTTGAAGCATGATTGTTTTGTGTATGATTATCAATTATGGTTACATGAAAATGTTTTTGAAAAGGCAATATTTCATGTTGTTTATATGAGTTTTTTATACCACTGCAAATTACCTGTTTTTTTGTGTAATTTATTGTAAATAGTACTAATGACAAAAAATGTGACAAATAATCGAGGGGTGAAACACAGGTCAGTTTTTGTACATCAGGGGCCTATTTTAGAAAAATGAAGAGTTGATGAGTGACGAGTGGAGAGTGAAGAGTTGAGGAGTGGAAAGTAAATGTCGTTTTTTTGCGTCTATTCCTCAATATTCATGAAGAGATGACGAGTATAGTACAAAATATAATAGCCAATCCATAATTTGTATAACTGTTAGTTCTCCTGCTCTAGTATGATATATTGTGCCAAATGTCTTAACGTAGGTCATTGCCTTTGTGGCAGATTTTCTTTATTGGATGAAGAATCACTACCAAATAGTAAATTTTGCATTATATATGATGCACTGAACGTATTTGAAATAGAAATGAGGGTCTTCGTTAACTTGACGAGTTGAGGAGTATAGAGTGTTTATAAAATGAAATAGAAAAAATTGTAAACCATTTAACTCTTCAACTCTTTAACCCTTCACTCTTCGATATTTTTATAAAATGAAATGTAACATTATTTCTCTCCTTATGCTCCTCAACTCTTCAACTCCTTATTTTTATGAATCAGGCCCCAATTGCGGTTTTAGGGGAAATCATGTTGTTCTCATTACCAGTAAGATTGCCCAAGGATAACATAACCTTAAATCATATTCAAAAGTTCTGAGTTCTCTTTTGGGAGAAGAGTCTATAATTTTTAAAATTTTGAATTTTCCAAACTTTCAAGATTCCTTACGTTACATTGTCATTTACATAGAGATTGATTTCCTCAAGATTTCCCATGATTTTCTTATGATTTTCCTTGATTTCCTTATAATTTCCCCTGATCGCGTTCTCTCTCGTGTAGAAAAATTTGCCAAATTAAAATTGGAAAATGAAATTTATTCGTGTGGTTCTCCATTGGTTCCTAGATCGAGTGTACGCTACTGGTATTTTCCTTTTTCTGACTATTCCCTCAACATTTCCATGTTAGTATGTACAGTTTTTGAATATCATACAGTTTCCTATGTAGGTCAATTCGCCTTTCAACAGGTATTAGAAATGTTACTTTACCAAACTAGTAGCATAAAGTGTTGGGTTATTCAAGTACAAATGAATGAATTGTTGCGGAACCTATGGGTGGACCTCTGCGGGACGAGCGCAGCGAGTTCCGCAGCCATCTATTCATCAATATGTTGTTTAATTACGATACTAACCTGACTCACTTAAACGTGAGTTATTCTCATTAGTTTAAAAACTACATGTTCCAGGTGAATGTCTTACTTAAGCATCAATAGTATATTGGTGAGTAGATGGCTGCGGAACTCGCTGCGCTCGTCCCGCAGAGGTCCACCCATAAGTTTCGCAACAATCCACTTATTTGTATTTGAAAAATAACTTATTATTGAGTGTACGCCACTGGTATTTTTCCTGTTTTTGACTATTCCTTCAATTTTTCCATGTTAATATGAATTCAATCCTATGTACAGTGTTTGAATAATCATACAGTTTTGTATATTTTCGTGTGGTTCTCTATTCGTTCGTAGGTCGATCGAATGTACGTCACTGGTATTTTCCTGTTTCTGACTATTCCCGCAACATTTCCATGTTAATATGAATTCAATCCTATGTACAGTTTTTGAATAATCGTACAGTTTTCTATGTAGGTCAATTCGCCTTTCAACAGGTATTAGTAATGTTACTTTACCAAACTAGTAACATAATGTGACAAGTTATTCAAGTACAGATGAGTGAATTGTTGCGGAACTTATGGGTGGACCTCTGCGGGACGAGCGCAGCGAGTTCCGCAGCCATCTATTCACCAATATGTTGTTTAATTACGATCCTAACCTGACTCACTCAAACGTGAGTTATTCTCATTAGTTTAAAAACTACATGTTTTAGGTGAATATCTTACTTCAACAGTTCAACAGTATATTGGTGAGTAGATGGCTGCGGAACTCGCTGCGCTCGTCCCGCAGAGGTCCACCCATAAGTTTCGTAATTAATGAAGATTTGTTTGGAAAATCAAGAAATATTTCAAAAAATGATGAAAAAATCAAAAACGGAACAGTTAGAGTGCTCGAAACAGATACAGTGCTCGTGCTTGTACCACTAATTCTGAGAGATTCCAAAAAATTGTAAATTTTTGTGGAACCTAATACGAGGACTTTATCTGTTCCACGCATTCTAACTGTTCCGAGCACCTTATCTGTTCTGAGCAATCTAATTGTTCCGAGCACTCTAGAGCTGGCTGTCTTTTTCCGTCCCTCTACGTTATACATTTTTTTCTCTTTCGTGTAACAGAATTTTCCAAAACGTGACGCGTCTTTCAAATCACTCTCCATTCTTGTCCAAATATCAGACCAACGCCTAAGAAGTTTCACTTCAAAAAACTGTCAAGCTTTGTATTTCCTTGTGATTAATAACCCCTTGCAGATCGAAGATAATCGTGGATCTTTTGTTGCATCAGGGGTAGAGGCAATTCTAACTTTTTAAGTCAAAATTTCAACATCATAGCTGCTTTGTTTCGGAAAACTAATCCAACGAATGCCTAGAACTAGGGACCACTTACCTTTATTTCCTATACGCCCATAAAGTTCGATTTGCAGCCATATGGACTGGAAATACTGGGATCCGAGAATTGTCCTTTCTCTAATGTTTGCTTAAAAGATTGAAATTTATCCAGGCCTTCTTACCAAATAATTACCACTTGTCCAAAGGAATAATATGGCAAATTGTTTCATAAAGGGCCAATATAAGAAAAAAAACAACGTTTTTCAATAAATAAAACAATATTTCATTTTTCTTTAAAGTTTCCGGCAGTCGATAAACTAATCAGCAACTCAAAAATAACATTGCAATTCAATTTAGCAAATAATCACATCGCGGAACTTATTTTTTTTCCTGGCATGAAATATTGCTTCTGGACCGTTTATATAGCCAGCGGATTATTGCTAGGCTTATTCACGAACCAACCATGCTTCAACTAGCTATTATAGGCCTAAGCCTTATTTCTAGGTAAGTGACAATTTGTTTTCTTAATTGTTACATAAAAATTCTGGTTTAAGTTGCTTTGGCCATTATGAACTTCCGGCCGATCTTAAGTTAGGAGCGGTCACGGCGGCTTTTCCAATTGAAGGTGGCTGGAACGAGGGTGGAAAAGGCGAAAGCTCTTGGGATTTCATCGTACACAATTATACCGATTTCTTAGTTAGCGGTAATTAATTTTTTATTTTTTTCATATGAAGTTGTTACTCAAAAAAAAAATGTTTAGATTTACCCCCGGAAGAGTTAATCGCGCAAGCTAAAGTGGCGGCAGACTCTTATCACAACTGGAGGGAAGACATTCGAGTAGCTAAAGAATTGGGTTTGGATTATTATAAGTTTTCCATTGCTACTACAAGGATTATTCCAAGGGGCCCCTACAATCCGGTGAATCAAGAGGGCATCGATTACTACAACAATTTAATTGACGGACTATTGGCCGTAGGAATAACTCCAGTAGTCACAATGTATTATTATGATGGTTCCCAAGCTGCTAGCTTTTTCTATGGAGGATTTTCGAATCCTCTTTGCGTTGATGCGATGGTTAGGTACGCTGATGTACTATTCGCTGCGTTTGGTGATAGAGTAAAAATCTGGGATACTTTCCAGGGTAAGAAATCGATTTTATCTCACACACTATCAAAAAATAAATTATTTAAGATGGCTATAAGGAGTGCAAAGAGATATACGGCGAATTTATTGGCAACGAGTATGAGTATTTTCCACGCGGCGAGTACGAGTACCTTTGCGGGCGCTACCTGATACTGTCCCATGCCAGTATTTATAGGTTGTACCAGGACAAATATAAGGCTGAACAAAATGGTTTGGTTTCGATGACTTTTGGTTTGGACTGGTACGAACCGGCTGATGAAGGGGCTCAAGAGGCTGCTCTGAGAGCTATGGACTTTACTGTAAGAATTTACATAAGTAAATAGGAAATCATTATATATCAAGAGTTTTTTCATAGTTTGGTTGGTTCGCCAGTCCAATAATCAACGGAGATTATCCGCAAAGAATGATCGATACCATCGCGGAACTGAGTGAAATACAAAATTTCCCCCAATCCCGACTGCCGCCTTTTACCGAAGAAGAAAAGGTACTGATAAAGGGTGCCTTGGACCTTATGGTACTCGTTCATAGAAATACTTACCTGGTAGTCGACCATTTCGATGATTCGTTTCCACCCACCGCTCAGAAGGATGTTCAAATCACCCGCTTCATCGACCAGGAATGGAACGATACGAATAGCTTTTACACTGTAAGTGATTCATTTTATTTGAAAACTATTAAACATAGATATTTCTTTCAGACTACTCCTTGGGGATTCCGCGAAGCCGTTAAATACGTTTGGGATAATTATGGACAGCCTGAAATAGCAATATCCCACGCTACGTACGGAGCATATGAAGACTCTCTGAATGATGATTTTAGAATCCATCGATTGCAGCAATTTTTACAAGAAGTTACGAGATTGATCCACGAGGACGGTGTTAATATTAAATACTTTTCCATGTGGTCATTGATCGATTCGTTCTTTTTCCAATACGCTTACACGTATGTTGTTGATTTATGAGTTAGAACTTAATTTATAGTGTGTTTATTTTAGTGGCATGCAGACGTAATAATTAAGAATGGATAAAAAAAATTCTTGCCTTGACTAGGATTTGAACCCAGGACCTCTTCATTACCAGTGCAACGCTCTAACCAACTGGAGCGTTGCACTGGAAATGCAAGGGTCCTGGGTTCAAATCCCAGTCAAGGAAAGATTTTTTTTTATCAATTTTTAATTATTACGTCTGCATGCCACTAAAATAAACACACTAAAGACTTCTAAAAAATTTATTTCAGAGCGAAATTTGGTTTGTATCATGTGGACTTCAATAATCCGGCAAGACCTAGGACCCCCAAACAGTCTGCCAGCTACTACAGAACAGTTATAGAAACTAGAATCCCCTGAATTGTAATTTCCTTTGTTTATTGTAGTGGTGGTGGGAGAATAAATAATATACTTTTGGCTTACATTTGAATCATATACCAATTATTATTTTTATATTACCCAGAGATTTCCAGAGCCATGTTGTCTTAATGGAATTTCATCTCACAGAGCGTCACCCGTTATACGGAGAGCAATTTTCTGTCTCCCGCTCTGAGCTATTATTTTTAATTTAGTCGCTCTATTTTCTTTTATTACTGGTCCGGGGAACAGTATCCAGTATACCGAACGAGGTTATGTTTTTAAAAATCTCGGGCGATTCTAATAAAAATACGGATAGTGTCGGCGGTTAAATAAATTTCCTCCACTCGGTTATTACGTATATCTATACGGATAGCGCGGTCGTAAAGTCATTGTGTGTCCGCGTAGTTGTTTATCCTTCTTGGCCTCTCGATGGAGCCATTGTTTTTATCTTTTTAAATGATTATTGTTATTTAGTAATTTAGGATTTAAAAAAGTCTGTCCACGTTTCGTGAAGAGAACAGATTTCCAGGAAACAAGTTGTTAAAGCGCTCCAGAAGTCTTGAGGCGTGTTGTGTTCGGACTTTTTTTTTATATATATATATATATTTAGCTCTCTCTGTCGATATTTGCGGTCCGGAGTTAATGGAGTTAAGGACGAACAAAGTACTTTTCCTTGTTTCCTGACAGTAGAAGCAGGGAAAGTTCTAATTTAATTATTATCGTTTTTCTTTACTCGACCCACCCCCAGGCCAGCAGAGGAGGAAAAAGGGTTTGGTGTAATTCAATTTCGAACAACTTGTGAAAGTATTTACTTTTGGTTATCTAGGAGGTTTTTTGTTTGGTAGTTTTTTTGGCTTTGCCTAATCCTAAAATTAGTTTTACAGTTTTGTATATGGCAAACATTACACAGAGGGCGGTACAAACTAAAAACCCGATAACATCTAGTAAGTAGACTTGATAAAATGGCATGTCAATTGCTTTGGATCGCATATGTTGACCGCCTTTGTGCCTGGCAATATGTTCCACCCAGTATATTGCAGTGTCCATGGGAGATAAAGGCCTGTCTTTGAATTTGTCCATTAAAGCCTTGGCATTTTGAATTGTCCTTTTGGAAGAAATAAATTAACATAAATTAAAATAACTAATTAATCTTACTTTGGTTGTAGAGCTTTTTTAATTGCCTCAACAATTTGTTCTTCAGTTGCAGTTTGCAAATTCAATAGAATTCCAACTCCATTGGTTTCCATTGCGTAGGCATTGTGCTTTTGGTCTCCGAATTGAGGCATTATTACTAGAGGTTTACCACAATGAGCTGCTTCAACGGTACTCAGAAGACCACCATGATTCAGGAATAGTTTAACATTGGGATGGCCTAAAATCTTGATTGAATATTTAAGGTTTCAATAGTGTTAAAAGTTTTTACATAAAATATCATATTGTGGCATCCATTTGTCGATCATAACGTTGTCTGGTTTGTCGGCCATAGTACCATTTTCCCATTTCCATAAAATTCTCTGAGGAAACCTGGCAAAGGCTCTCAGAAACTTGCGTCGTTGTTCTTCAGGAAATGTGTCGCTTTTGATCATTGAACCAAGATTGAAGTAGATCACTCCAGCTTCTGCATTGGTAATCCAGTCGTCCAAATGCTGGAAATACACCAATCATTGATTGATATTTTTTTTGAAATTGGTTTGAGCCAGGTTGACATGGTCCAAGTTTACTTGGATCAAGTACTCTATACCGGAAGGCTGGATTGAGTACAAACAAAGAAATTAGGAAGGCCAAGCGAAAAAACTTCAGAGACTTACTCAGAAACTCCATCAGCAGCCAGATCATATAAAACTCTGGCGCAAAGACCATTGACACACTACAATTCCTGAAAATTTCAGCTCATTTGCACTTATCAACTTTTCAATTTTTCTGAGTGCCTTTTTTCATAGATTTCGGCTTCAAATCTTTGAATAGTTTAGTGTATGGAGTTTGGGGTATGTTGATTGACCATTAGGATACAAAATCTCGATATAAAAAAATTTGAAGTTTCATCGTTTTAGTAAGAAGGTACCTACCTTATGATTTAGATTTTGGAAAATTTTGAAAGGTGATAACTTTTTTTCTATTATAGATAGAAGGCTGAAACTTTTACTGAATTTTATCCCTTTCAAAGGTCTACAATCCCTGAAAATTTCAGCATATTTGCACCTATGGTTCCTGAGATAAAATCGTGTTAAGCAATTTGGGGTGATTTATCAACTTTTCAATTTTTCTGAGTGCTTTTTTCATAGATTTCGGCTTCAAATCTGAGAATAATTTAGTGTATGGAGTTTGGGGGATGTTAATTGACCATTAGGACACAAAATCTCAACAAAGAAAAATTTAAAATTTCATCGTTTCAGTAAGAACCTTATGATTTAGATTTTGGAAAAGTTTGAAAGGTCATAACTTTTTTTCTATTATAGATAGAAAGCTGAAACTTTCACTGAATTTTATCCCTTTCAAAGGACTACAATCCCTGAAAATTTCAGCATATTTGGTTCCTGAAATAAAATCGTGTTAAGCAAATTGGGGTGATTTATCAACTTTTCAATTTTTCTGAGTGCCTTTTTTCATAAATTTCGGCTTCAAATCTAAGTATAATTTAGTGTATGGAGTTTGGGGTATGTTGATTGACCATTAGGATACAAAATCTCTACCTTATGACTTAGATTTTGGAAAACTTTGGATGGGCATAACTTTTTTTTCTATTATAGATACAAAGCTGAAATTTCCACTGAATCTTATCCTACTGAAGGGACTACCATCCCTGAAAATTACAGCTCATTTCCACCTATAGTTTCTGAGATAAACTGAACCAGAGGTCAAATGACACCTCTAACACACATATACACACATACAAACAACTACTCTTGGACGATACGTTGGATACGTCCTAACTTCCAAGTAAGTAGGCTGGCTGCCAACTTACTTAATCTAAGTTGTACTTGAACCGTGTTAATCAGGCTTTACTTGGTCCAAGTGCAAGATGACTTTACCTTGGGTAATTTTTGAGGTTTCCTGTTTTGGACATGCAAGCCTGCAACTTCGATAATGTTGGGGGTTAAGGGTTGCACCCCTGTCAAAGTATGGTGACTGTTAACAAGAAATAGGCTCGTGTCATGTGGATCAGCTGCTTCAAAACCAATGAATTTCTTGGAGCATTCGTTTCCTGGTTTTTTCATAAAGAGCTCGTACCTGCAAAATTTGTATGGAATTAAAAAATAATTTAAAAAAAATCCAATTGAGTTTATTGACTCGAAACCTATATTGTTATCAGAGAGGTTGTCAGGGGTCAACAACGATATCAAGTGTAATTAATTTCTACTAAAAATTTGATAAATACCAGACATTTGCGTGAATATGCAAAAGAGTATTTTCCAAACGGTGCCAAAAAGTCATCGGCGAACTAAAACCTGCAAAAAGACTTTGAACATAAGCCGGATTCGGTTGGGCACCGAACCATTTGCCTTGCCAAGGCAGAGCCGCACCGGAACTTAAGCCTAAAACAATTTCAATTAATATTTATACTAAAAACTATTATATCTTACCTATCACTGGTGCCTTAAACTTGTTGGCCAATCCCAAAAAACAATCACTAATAAACAATTCAGCCAATATTAAATCAAACTTGACATCTTCGTTTTCCCTTAGAAATCTTTGAAAGGCCGCAGTTTGCAAACCGTATCCGCAATACTCTTTGGACATTTCGCCTAGGACAATTGGTATTATAATTTGCGATCCTACATAAGGATCTTGCAATGACAAAACGTTGGTTACTTCAGGCCTTTCTAGCCAGTAGGTTTTTATTTGGTCACTTATGTGGGCTGTGGAGTAGGTTATTAATGTTAGATTGTGCCCTTTATCACTTAGGGCCTTGAATAAGGGCTTGAAGACTTCAAAATGTGACTGGCCATCGTAGGGCGTTAGGGCTAGGATTTTGTATGAGTGTGATATCGGTATGCAAAGAAGCAGTGACAGTGTTAGGATCATTTTGGAACAGCGACTGATTTGTAGAGACATATGTTTGATTATTTATATCGAGAGGTTTTTTTAAATAAGCCTTATGATAACCTTTGATTTATAATGTTGTTTTATACTTATAAAACATGGATAGTGTCGCGGTATCTTTTTATTTTGATTTTGCCAATCGAAAGTTATCAAGGTTATAATTTGTAAATTAATTGTTTTGGGGCTGGTTTCTCAATGGGCAGTCACATCTGGGTTACTTTTCACTCCAGAGTACACGTGTCCAGTTGCTATGTTTACCCTGGAGTTATGCTTTACTCTACCAATTACTCTACTTCAAAAGTAATGGAAAGAGTTGTGAACAATCACCTAACCAAGTACTTGGAAAAGTGCAAAATTATCAACGATAAGCATTACGGATTTCGAAAATATAAGTCAACTGGCGATTTACTTACATACGTCACTCACTTATGGCAAAAACCGATTGAGTTGCGGGGTGAAACAAGAACAATTGCCTTAGATATATCTAAAGCATTCGACAAAGTCTGGCATGAAAATCTGCTCAACAAGCTCAAAGCAATGGGATTATCGCCGAAAATTTGCACTTGGTTTGAAAGTTACATAAAGGACAGATCCATTTATGTTGCACTGGATGGCCAGAACTCCAACTCTTACCAAATAAATGCTGGTGTGCCACAGAAAGCAATCCTTTCGCCAACTCTTTTTCTGATTTACATAAATGACCTCATGGATAAAACAGTAAATCCACTTTATTGTTTTGCAAACCATGGCAATGTAGTTTCCTCACTCATACGTTGTACCCCATTTTCCTAATGGTTTCCCAGGACCCATTGTCTATGTCGATGTTGAGTAGCTGGCCGTTACCCTCGTCCTTGCAGCCCATTACTTTCCACAGCTGAGTGCTAAGCCCTTCGTTTCGGGTGTTCACTAGGCTTAGGATTTTAAGGGGGTCTTTCCCTTTGCTTCTTGGGAAGAAGACTGTGATAGTGTGGGATGTCGTCCCCCAGGCACACCATCAGCTCTCCTCCCTGTCAGGTTTCCAACCTGTGGACGTCTTCTATCAGCCACTCAACTATTTCTTTGGTGAAGCAATCAATCACCAGCATGCTTGGTCGGAAACGTATGCCCCCAAATTGGAGTTTATGTTCCGCCCTTTTCATCATTTCCTCCACAATGACGTCCTCTAGGGCAGAAAGTTCTACTGCACTGAGGGTTTCCTTAGGAAATGCCGCGGGGAGTGCTGCCACCTTTATGGTTTTTGCTGATTCGACGTAGCTGGTGCTTGGCCCAGCGGCTCTGTCAGCATGAGGAGGTTCCGTCCTCTTCCTTTTCACGTCCGCTTTGTGCGGAGGGGTTATGTTTTTGGGCCGCCTTTTTTGTGCCTGCACTTTCCTGGTCAGTGCATTTTCTCTGGCTTCTTCTGGTGTCATGCCCTTTTGAAGAAGCCTGAGGTACCATCGCACTCCAGCTCTACTGAGGCCTTTTCTCAGTGGGTCATCAAGTCCTCCTGGTTGACCAAGAGGTGGGTAGTATGGCTTTTCAACAGACATATTAAAACCACATATTATGTATATACTAGCTGTTGCCCGCGGCTTCGCACGCCCTATACAAATTTTGTAGGTGTAGGGTATAGGTAGCATTAGGTAATCTTCTTTCAAAGAGCTAAGGGGATAGTTGCGTCAGACATATGGTCATGTAACTCTTATTTTTGCAGCACCTCTCTGTAAACCACATTTTTTATTCTGCTTTGTGACTGCAGAATATGAAGACTATTTTTTGACAACTGACGTTAAATTTTTTACTCGCTGCTAATAGCTTTGTTCGCGGATCATATTTGGACCGATTCCGAACCAGTCCGGAACTAATTGAGGACTATCGTAGAGCGCATGCCCAGTTATAGCTGGGTTCGGCTTGCTCACTCCGTGTACTCCGAGTGATTCCGTTCGCACTTCAGCCGTTCGGGTATTACCTTATAGCTTATCAGATAACGGCTGGAGTGCGATCGGAGTAACTCGGAGTGAGCAACCCGAACCCAACTTGTGAATGGGTTCGGGTTCCTATTTTATCGCGAACAGTTTTGGAACCGAACAAAAACTCCAGAACCTTGCTCCAGACTGTCGAATACGTGAACGAATTGCGAATGTCATGTCTCAAACTTGAAGTTAGCTTAGCCTGGGACCGGTGGAATTTGTTCAGAATCGGTTCCGAATCGTTTGTGGTGAAAGCATGAAAATATAACGAGAAAAACACATTTTTTTTTGCACTGATTCTGCAAATGGAAATCACTATGGATTTGATTCTGCTTGTCATATTTCTGAATTTGACAGCCTACACGTCGTCTGTTTCTGTTTACACTTTTTTCCCCGCACTCCCGCACCACACCGTTTCTTATTTTTGGTTATTTAAGGCGATTGCTTAAGGCCATGTTGATATTATTTCTTAGTGAGCATCTCCAACCTATTACCTACCTGTTTGCAAAATTTCATCTCGATTGGTTTAGTAGTTTTCGAGATTTCGTGTTTAATCAGTTAGTCAGTGAGTGAGTGAATTTCACGTTTATATATATAGATATATATGGAATTAAAAAATAACATCTTATAATAAAGGTGAAGAGAGCACAAGAAACTCAAGACATAATTGAACAAATAAAATATAATACCGAAACTTTAAATCTACAAAAATATAACATTAAATTTGTATTGTTGTTTTTCACAATATATATTCCATATAAAATCCGCTCCGAGTGCAAAACACAAATCTGAATGTTTTACGTGTTTCAGCAAAAGTTTTATTGGCCCTATGAAAAGGGTAGAATTTAATATGTGCAATTTTGCGATTCAAACCGATATTTTTAGGTATTTTTAATTCATCCAATCTAAAAATATCATCGACATTTCGACATTGTTATGTTCCAGAAAATTTTTGTCGGAAAAATGATAAAATCGAGTATAGAGCAAATTGGATCTCGGGCGTTTTTGTCCCGGATACTAAAAACTACGATTCCTTATATTGCAATATGTTCACGGAACTGTAAAAATTGTATCTCGCTTTTGGGAAAGATACGTGATATGACGCAGGAAAGTTATATTGGGGTTTGATATTAAATAAACCATTTCGGCGGGGTTATATCCAATGTCAATTCGAGTAGAACTGTACAAGACGGTCCATTTCACAATAAAATTTCATATTAAACTTTTTATGTTTTTTTATTTTTTTTGGCTCGGCGTGTGTCGACCAAATGGAAATTTAGTTGAATAAATTATTAACACTTACATCAAAACTAAAACTAAATATTTATGAGTATTTTTGTTTGTCCACCTTTTTGGCTCTGCCTAATCTTAAAATCAGTCTTACAGTTTTGTACAAAGCAAACATTGCACAGAAAATAATACAAACTAAAAATCCAATTACATCCAGTAAGTAAACTTGATAAAATGGCATGTCAATGGCTCTGGATCGCATGTGCTCGCCTCCCTTGTGCCTGGCAATATGTTCCACCCAGTATATTGCAGTGTCCATGGGAGATAAAGGCCTGTCTTTGAATTTGTCCATTAAAGCCTTGGCATTTTGCATTCTCCTTTTGAAAAAAAAAAAAAAAAACAATTAGCATCAATCAAAATAAATAATGGTTGTAAGCGAAATTAGATGCTCACCCAAATGTCAACCTCAAATGGTCAACGGTATAAGGATATAGAAGGCAATGGAAAACCACTGTATTAAGAATCTTTTCAAGATTCTCCAGGAAATTCACCATGGGATTGCAAAATGTTACTGATCATACAAATCGGAAACCGTTTTTTGAAATTTGAATGGGTAAATGCATGGCCTACTTAATAAGTGTCAGAAAATTTGAACGTCAAACATTTGTCGGTTGATAAAGTAGATAGCTGACAACATTAATTCTAGTTGACATATTAACATTCGATAACTGCTGATACGCATTCCGTATACAGAGAATTTTCTAATTGAATGTCCATTTTAAAAAGAAAACTTAATACTGTCTTTTTTCAACATTAATAAGAGAAGGACCGACGAAAATGGATGAAAGAAGGCACCATTTTTTGAAATTTGATTCAGTAAATGTATGGCCTACTTGATAAAAGATTGTGTCAGAAAGTTTAAACGTCAAACATCTGTCGGTTGGTAAAGTAGATCACTGACAACATTGATTCTAGTTGACGTATTGACATTCGATAACTGCTGATACGCGTTTCGTATACAGAGTGTTTTCTAATTGAATCCTGAATGTCAATTTTAAAAAAGGAAACTTAAAACTGTCTTTGAAATAATAAACAACATAAGATACGCAGATGACGCTGTCATCTGTCATCTACTAGAACATGAAGACTTGTAAATACTGCTGGATAGAGTGCATAAGGCTAGCCAAAGATGAGATATCAATGATGGAAAGCTAAAATTTTCACTAAATCTTATCTCAATAAGGGGACTACAATCCCTGAAAATTTCAGCTCATTTTCCCTTATAGTTCCTGAGATAAAATCATGTTAAGGAATTTGAGGTGATTTATCAGTTTTTCAATTTTTCTGAGTGCTTTTTTCCATAGATTTCTGCTTCCAATCTAGGAATAATTTAGTGTATGGAGTTTGGGGGATGTTAATTGACCATTAGGACACAAAATCTCGACAAAGAAAAATTTGAAATATCATCGTTTAAGTAAGCAGGTAGCTACCTTATGATTTGGATTTTGGAAAATTTTGCAAGGTCATAACTTTTTTTCTATTATAGATAGAAGGCTGAAACTTTCACTGAATTTTATCTTTTTCAAAGGACTACAATCCCTGAAAATTTCAGCATATTTGCACTTATGGTTCCTGAGATAAAATCGTGTTAAGCAATTTGGGGTGATTTATCAATTTTTCAATTTTTCTGAGTGCCTTTTTTCATAGATTTCGGCTTCAAATCTGAGAATAATTTAGTGTATGGAGTTTGGGGGATGTTAATTGACCATTAGGACACAAAATCTCGACAAAGAAAAATTTGAAATATCATCGTTTAAGTAAGCAGGTAGCTACCTTATGATTTGGATTTTGGAAAATTTTGCAAGGTCATAACTTTTTTTCTATTATAGATAGAAGGCTGAAACTTTCACTGAATTTTATCTTTTTCAAAGGACTACAATCCCTGAAAATTTCAGCATATTTGCACTTATGGTTCCTGAGATAAAATCGTGTTAAGCAATTTGGGGTGATTTATCAATTTTTCAATTTTTCTGAGTGCCTTTTTTCATAGATTTCGGCTTCAAATCTGAGAATAATTTAGTGTATGGAGTTTGGGGTATGTTGATTGACCATCAGGACACAAAATCTCAACAAAGAAAAATTTGAAATTTCATCGTTTCAGTAAGAAGGTACCTACCTTATGATTTAGATTTTGGAAAACTTTGAAAGGTCATAACTTTTTTTCCATTATAGATACAAGGCTGAAACTTTCACTGAATTTTATCTTTTTCAAAGGACTACAATCCCTGAAAATTTCAGCATATTTGCACCTATGGTTCCTGAGATAAAATCGTGTTAAGCAATTTGGGGTGATTTATCAATTTTTCAATTTTTCTGAGTGCCTTTTTTCATAGATTTCGGCTTCAAATCTGAGAATAAGTTAGTGTATGGAGTTTGGGGGATGTTAATTGACCATTAGGACACAAAATCTCGACAAAGAAAAATTTGAAATATCATCGTTTAAGTAAGCAGGTAGCTACCTTATGATTTGGATTTTGGAAAATTTTGCAAGGTCATAACTTTTTTTCTATTATAGATAGAAGGCTGAAACTTTCACTGAATTTTATCTTTTTCAAAGGACTACAATCCCTGAAAATTTCAGCATATTTGCACTTATGGTTCCTGAGATAAAATCGTGTTAAGCAATTTGGGGTGATTTATCAATTTTTCAATTTTTCTGAGTGCCTTTTTTCATAGATTTCGGCTTCAAATCTGAGAATAATTTAGTGTATGGAGTTTGGGGTATGTTGATTGACCATCAGGACACAAAATCTCAACAAAGGAAAATTTGAAATTTCATCGTTTTAGTAAGAAGGTACCTACCTTATGATTTAGATTTTGGAAAACTTTGAAAGGTCATAACTTTTTTTCTATTATAGATAGAAGGCTGAAACTTTCACTGAATTTTATCTTTTTCAAAGGACTACAATCCCTGAAAATTTCAGCATATTTGCACTTATGGTTCCTGAGATAAAATCGTGTTAATCAATTTGGGGTCATTTATCAATTTTTCAATTTTTCTGAGTGCCTTTTTGTATAGATTTTGGTTTCAAATTTTTTTTTTTTTTTCAACATTGATTGATTTAATGCATGGCCTACTTGATAAAGGATTGTATTGTAAGACAAAAAAGAATAGATAACGCAGGACATATGAAACCTTATGGAGAAGAGACAAAAAGACAAAAGCAACAATCATAGTGAGTACAAGAGGATGCATGGGATAATACACACAAAAATTAGGGAAACAAAGCAAGTGTTGCTCCGAGAATCCTGCAGAGGAAATAGAGCAGCTTCAGACCATACACGATGATTTCAACTTACATAAAAAAATAAGAGACTTTCTAACATATACAAAAAGAAAACCACAACAATGGTGGAAAGGTACTGTTAACAAAGGAAGATCAGGGCAGCAATACATTCAACAACTGTTCGAGGACGACACTCGCAAAACACCAGAGAATCTATTGACTGATTATATGATAGAGCATGGTCCAAGCATTCTCAAATTCAAGGTACACCAGTCAATGTATGAGGATAGCCAATTAATATAAACATCAAGAAAACGAAATGGATGACTGTAGGTAAAATAAACCTCAAATTAACTCCGATTACAATAAACGAACACACTAGTTCCACATTTCAAATACTTGGGCAGCAGCCTAAACAGTGAAGATATGTGTGACGAAGAGGTAAAAGCGGAGATTGAAATCGTACGTAATGAAAAAAGAAGAATACAAACATTCAAACTTCTTACCCTGGTTGTAGAGCCTTTTCAATTGCCTCAACAATCTGTTCTTCACTTGCAGTCTGCAAATGCAACAAAGTAGCAACTCCATTAGTTTCCATTGCGTGCGCATTGAATCTTTGATCTCCAAACTGAGGCATTATTACCAGAGGCTTGCCGCAATGAGCCGCTTCAACAGTACTGAGAAGTCCACCATGACTCAGGAATAGTTTGACGTTGGGATGACATAAGATTTCGTATTGCGGCATCCATTTGTCGATCATAACGTTGTCCGGTTTGTCCAACATTGCGCCGTCGCTTTCCCATTTCCACAAGATTCTCTGAGGGAATCGGGCAAAGGCTCTCAGAAATTTGTTTCGTTGTTCTTCGGGGAAACTGTCGCTTCTGATCATCGAGCCGAGGCTGAAGTAGATAACTCCAGCTTTTGCATTTGTGATCCAGTTTTCTAAATGCTAATAATACAAACGTTATTGGTTGGGTTTTTGGTTTTTTAGTATTTGGCTTACCGCGGGTAGTTTTTGGGGTTTTCTGTTTTGGACGTGTAGGCCTCCCACTTCGATTATGTTGGGGGTTAAGGGTTGCACCCCTGTTAAAGTATAATGAGTGTTTACAAGAAATAGGCTTGTTTTGTGTGGATCAGCTGCTTCAAAGTCGATGTATTTTTTGGACCATTCGTTTGCAGGTTTTGCTATGAAAAGCTCGTACCTAAAAATATTTACTTATTATTTATGTATCACTAAAGACCAGTTTATCAGTGGATGTTTATTTAGTTTAGCTGTTGGTTAACTAATAACCGACGACAGCTAAACCAATAACCACTGATAAACCGGTCCTTAATTCAAAAATTTTGACGATACCTAAAATGAATTGACATATTTCTGGGCTGCCTGAAAAGGTTGGAAGTGTATGGGTTTATGGTGGCATTAGGGGTTTATTGCAGTCACAAAGTCAACGGGATTATCTCGAGATAATGTTCTTTTAATGAGACTTTACCTACGATAGACCCTTTTACAATAATTAGAATTAGGTACACTGGTGATGAATTAAATATGCAAATTTTACTTTAAAATATGCCAGTCATTTATGAATAATATCAATTTCTTCTTAGGCCCGATTTATTCATCTACAGAAAAACTTACTGGTTACGTTTCATAATTTTATTTGTCGCGCAGATAACTGGCCGACAAATAGGATAACAGATTGAATTTTTATCAGACAGAGAGTTTATCAAAAAGTGAATAAACTGGCCCTTAAAGAATCAAATCTTATTGAAACCAATTATGTATTTTCAATACTGGATGAGACCCAAATAAACAAAACTTGAAATAAAAATTTGTGACATCCCTTTTGAAGGTTCCTGAAAAATACTTTCAGCCATCTCAGTAACTTGGAACTTTCAGGATATGTTAAATGAAGTTTCTTCATGATACAAAACAAGTTGGAAGTTGATATGAAACACACAACTAAAGTTACGAATTTTTTTACCTATTGATACCTGAGAAAATCATAAAATTCCCGTGAAATCACCTTTCAAGGTTCCTGAAAAATATTTTCAGCCATTTCAGCAACTTGAAACTTTCAGGATTTGTTGAATGAAGTATTTTCAAGATACAAAACAAGTTGGAAGTTGATATGAAACTTACTAGTAAAGTTACGAATTTTTTTACTCATTGATATCTGAGAAAATCATAAAATTCCTGTAAAATCACCTTTGAAGGTTCCCGAAAAATACTTCCAGTTATCCCAGCAATTTGAAACTTTCAGGATTTGTTAAATAGAGTTTCTTCATGATACAAAACAAGTTGAAAGTTGATATGAAACTCACAATTAAAATTACGAATTTTTTTACTCATTGATATCTGAGGAAATCATAAAATTCTCGTAAAATCACCTTTGGAAGGTTCGTAAAAAATACTCTCAGCCATCCTAACAACTTGAAACTTTCAGGATTTGTTAAATAGAGTTTCTTCATGATACGAAACAAGTTGGAAGTTGATATGAAACTCACAACTAAAATAACGAACTTTTTCACTCATTGATACCCAAGAAAATCATAAAATTCTTGTATAATCACCTTTGAAGGTTCCTGAAAAATACTTTCAGCAATCCCAGCAACTTGAAACGTTCAAGATTTGTTAAATGAAGTTTCTTCATGACACAAAACAAGTTGGAAGTTGATATGAAACTCATAACTAAAGTTACGAATTTTTTTACTCATTGATACCTGAGAAAATCATAAAATTTCTGTAAAACCACCTTTGAAGCTTCCTGAAAAATACTTTCAGTTATCCCAGCAACTTGAAACTTTCAAGATTTGGTAAATGAAGTTTCTTCATGACACAAAACAAGTTGGAAGTTGATATGAAACTCATAACTAAAGTTACGAATTTTTTTACTCATTGATACCTGAGAAAATCATAAAATTCCTGTAAAATCACCTTTGAAGGTTCCTGAAAAATACTTCCAGTTATCCCAGCAACTTGAAACTTTCAAGATTTGTTGAATGAAGTTTCTTTATGATACAAAACAAGTTGGAAGTTTACATAAAAAATATTTTCAATCAATTTCTTTCTAGACCCGGTTTATTCATCTACAGATAAACTTGCAGGTAACGTTTCATAATTCTATTTGACGGGCAAAGAAACGGCCGACGAATAATATTACAGAGTGCATTTTTAACAAACAGACAGTTTATCACAAGGTTAATAAACCGGCCTTTAAAGAACTAAACATTATGTACCTTCAATAATGGATGAGACCCAAATAAACAATATCTTGAAATAACAAGCTCGTTATTTCGACTGATAAGATAACAGGAAACGTGCTTTGCATTATACAATAAGGATTTTATAATCAGAAATGTATAATCATGATAATGAAACATTGTGAAATAAATATGCAATCAAATCTATGACTTACCAAACGTTAGAGTAAACGTGTAAAAGGGTATTTACCACACGGTCCAGGAAAATCATTGGCGTGCTGAAACCGCCGCAAACATTCTGTACGTACGAGGGGTTGGGTTGAGCCCCGAACCATTTGCCTTGCCAAGGAAGAGCCACACTGGAACTTAAACCTATGGAAAATGTAATAATGTAAATGCAATTTTTAGTTGTTATAAAACCATTGTAAATCCTATGGTCCTAATGAAGCAAATTCTTACCTATAAAGGGTGCCTTATATTTGTTGACCAAACCCAAAAAACACTCAATATTAAAGTGTTCAATCATAATCAAATCAAATTTAGTGTTTTGGTGTTTCTCCAAAAACCTCCTGAATCCTTTAGCTTGCAAGCCGTACTCGCAAACTTCCTCTGCCCGCATTGCCAGCATATGCGGACCTAGATAAAACGCTCCAGTTTCGCCTAGTCCTTTCAGGGATACCACATTGACTTCTTCATCTTGGCCCAACCAAAAATTTTCTATGTTTTCACTGTTATATGGAGTATTACGGTAGCTGATTATCGTCAAATTGTGACCCCTATTGGCGAGGGCTTCGAAAAGGGGCACGTAAACTTCGAAATGCGATCGGCTAGGGTAAGGGAATACCACTAGGATGTTGTGAGCGCTGGCCAAAGAACAAAACACTGGTAGTAGGAAGAGCAGCTTCATGTTTGGAGGTTTTTTTCAGACTGATTTTAATCAGCTTGAGATTGTGAGCCATTGAATCTGGCTTGTCATGGTGGAAATTTTCTAGGCATTAGTGTTTATTGACTAGACAATTATTGGGTGAAAGGAGGGGGCGATTGACCTGAGCATCTAAATGGGGAGGGATTTGTTAGGATAGAGTAGGATTAGGTAGAGTCCACCCAGCTTAATGTCACATTCCAAAATTTGAATTTCAAAGAATTTTTTTTTCCATCATATAGAGGAGTCAAAAATACGTCGAAAAGCTCATATGACCCTTCTCGCTACGACGCATCCTAAGGCCGGAAAAAAATAAAAAAAGGAAATGTCGATTTTGGCCAGAAGAAAATTGTGAGGATCTGACACGACGTCACTTTTTCGCCTATAGCTCCGCTATTTCTCAACCGATCATTTCGAGTCATATTTTTTTTTGAAAGAGGATGAAATTACCTACAAAATGCTTTTTTATTGAGATTCGAAGTCGTTTTATTCTTTGAGATATTAGCCGTCAAAGTTGAAATTCTTTGCAATTTTGTTAAAATTTTCGAGGTCGATTTTCTCGGAAACGGTGTCCCGTGGAAGGATACTTTTAATGGGCTTTTTTGTAGTACTCAACGAGATCTACAAGTTTTATATTTGAAGTTTTCCTCCCGGGCTTTTCGTTTTCAAGTTAGGACACTTTGAAAATTAAAAAGAAAAATTGGAAGGATTTTTTTATCGAAAAAAATTCAAAATTTGAATTTTGGAATTTTTGTGTAATGAAGGTTTAGAGGGGCTGCAAATCTTCCAAAAAACAACTTTTTTTATTCCATAAAAAAAAAGTTGTGCCACTGATGAGAATTGAACCTACAACCAACACCTTGCACTGGAAATGCAAGGGTCCTGTGTTCAAATCCTAGTCGAGGCAAGACTTTTTTTTATCAATTTGAATTAATACGTCTCCATGCTACTAAAATTAAACACACTGTAAACTTCAGAGTTATTTTAGAACAATCTCAAAGTTCCAAATTGAATCCTAATTTAGAACTGGAAACTTCTTAGAACTTTTTGAACCAATTTAGAACACTTTAGAGCTTCAATAAGGCTCTAATATACTTAAAAATCTGTCAGAACAATTTAAAAATTACTGAAAAACTTCTAGAATGCTCCAGAACTGCTTAATACAAGTTAGAACACCTAACATTGGGCTGCGAGATCCCATACCTACTGATGATATTGAAATTTAAAAAAAAAAACAGCAATTAGGAAGTCGAAAATTTAATACGAGTCAATCATTGTATAGATCTGTTCAGTTGCCTGAGCAGTTGCTGTGTCTCTCCGGAACAAGTACCTCTGACGTCGTCGCCGGAAATGTGCCACACCATGACGCCGAAGAAGTTCTGGCTTTTGGTCCATGACCCCTGAAACATTGGACAATCAAAGAAAATTCAAAATATTGCAGTCTCATATAGGTACCTTGGCCCAAACCGAATCCTTGTCGTCGTAACCGACCCAATTATTGCTTTGGTACTTGTAGGGGTTTTTTTGCTGGTCATCCCACACTCGAGTCCAACTTTGGTAGTTTGAACAAATCTGTCAAAGAAATATTGAATCAATTGAATCGAACAGAACTATATGAACCTTGCAAATAACTTTTTTTATATTATAGATTGATAGAAAGCTGAATCTTTCACTGAATTTTATCCCTTTCAAAGGACTATAATCCCTGAAAATTTCAACTCATTTGCACATATAGTTCCTGAGATAAAATCGTGTTAGGCGATTTGGGGTGATTTATCAATTTTTCAATTTTTCTGAGTGCCTTTTTTCATAGATTTCGGCTTCAAATCTGAGAATAATTTCGTGTATGAAGTTTGGGGTATGTTGATTGACCATAAGGATACAAAATCTCGACAAAAAAAAATTTGAAATTTCATCGTTTTAGTAAGAAGGTACCCCCCTTATGATTTTTTTGGAAAAGTTTGAAAGGTCATAACTTTTTTTCTATTATAGATAGAAAACTGAATCTTTCACTGAATTTCATCCCTTTCAAAGGACTACAATCCCTGAAAATTTCAGCTCATTTGCACTTATAGTTCCTGAGATAAAATCGTGTTAAGCAATTTGGGGTGATTTATCAATTTTTCAATTTTTCTGAGTGCCTTTTTTCATAGATTTCGGCTTCAAATCTGAGAATAATTTTGTGTGTGGAGTTTGGCGGATGTTAATTGACCATTAGGACACAAAATCTCGACAAAGAAAAATTTGAAATTTCATCGTTTTAGTAAGAAGGTACCCCCCTTATGATTTTTATAAAAAACTTTGAAAGGTCATAACTTTTTTTCTATTATAGATAAAAAGCTGAATCTTTCACTGAATTTTATCCCTTCCAAAGGACTATAATCCCTGAAAATTTCAGCTCATTTGCACTTATAGTTCCTGAGATAAAATCGTGTTAAGCAATTTGGGGTGATTTATCAATTTTTCAATTTTTCTGAGTGCCTTTTTTCATAGATTTCGGCTTCAAATCTGAGAATAATTTTGTGTATGGAGTTTGGGGTATGTTGATTGACCATAAGGATACAAAATCTCGACAAAAAAAAAATTTGAAATTTCATCGTTTTAGTAAGAAGGTACCCCCCTTATGATTTTTTTGGAAAACTTTGAAAGGTCATAACTTTTTTTCTATTATAGATAGAAAGCTGAATCTTTCACTGAATTTTATCCCTTCCAAAGGACTACAATCCCTAAAAATTTCAGCTCATTTGCACTTATAGTTCCTGAGATAAAATCGTGTTAAGCAATTTGGGGTGATTTATCAATTTTTCAATTTTTCTGAGTGTTTTTTTCATAGATTTCGGCTTCAAATCTGAGAATAATTTTGTGTATGGAGTTTAGGGTATGTTGATTGACCATTAGGATACAAAATCTCGAGAAAAAAAAATTTGAAATTTCATCGTTTTAGTAAGAAGGTACCCCCCCTTATGATTTTTATGGAAAACTTTGAAAGGTCATAACTTTTTTTCTATTATAGATAAAAAGCTGAATCTTTCACTGAATTTTATCCCTTCCAAAGGACTATAATCCCTGAAAATTTCAGCTCATTTGCACTTATAGTTCCTGAGATAAAATCGTGTTAAGCAATTTGGGGTGATTTATCAATTTTTCAATTTTTCTGAGTGCCTTTTTTCATAGATTTCGGCTTCAAATCTGAGAATAATTTTGTGTATGGAGTTTGGGGTATGTTGATTGACCATAAGGATACAAAATCTCGACAAAAAAAAAATTTGAAATTTCATCGTTTTAGTAAGAAGGTACCCCCCTTATGATTTTTTTGGAAAACTTTGAAAGGTCATAACTTTTTTTCTATTATAGATAGAAAGCTGAATCTTTCACTGAATTTTATCCCTTCCAAAGGACTACAATCCCTAAAAATTTCAGCTCATTTGCACTTATAGTTCCTGAGATAAAATCGTGTTAAGCAATTTGGGGTGATTTATCAATTTTTCAATTTTTCTGAGTGTTTTTTTCATAGATTTCGGCTTCAAATCTGAGAATAATTTTGTGTATGGAGTTTAGGGTATGTTGATTGACCATTAGGATACAAAATCTCGAGAAAAAAAAAATTTGAAATTTCATCGTTTTAGTAAGAAGGTACCCCCCTTATGATTTTTTTGGAAAACTTTGAAAGGTCATAACTTTTTTTCTATAATAGATAGAAAGCTGAATCTTTCACTGAATTTCATCCCTTTCAAAGGACTACAATCCCTGAAAATTTCAGCTCATTTGCACTTATAGTTCCTGAGATAAAATCGTGTTAAGCAATTTGGGGTGATTTATCAATTTTTCAATTTTTCTGAGTGCCTTTTTTCATAGATTTCGGCTTCAAATCTGAGAATAATTTTGTGTATGGAGTTAAGGGTATGTTGATTGACCATTAGGATACAAAATCTCGAGAAAAAAAAATTTGAAATTTCATCGTTTTAGTAAGAAGGTACCCCCCTTATGATTTTTTTGGAAAACTTTGAAAGGTCATAACTTTTTTTCTATAATAGATAGAAAGCTGAATCTTTCACTGAATTTCATCCCTTTCAAAGGACTACAATCCCTGAAAATTTCAGCTCATTTGCACTTATAGTTCCTGAGATAAAATCGTGTTAAGCAATTTGGGGTGATTTATCAATTTTTCAATTTTTCTGAGTGCCTTTTTTCATAGATTTCGGCTTCAAATCTGAGAATAATTTTGTGTATGGAGTTAAGGGTATGTTGATTGACCATTAGGATACAAAATCTCGAGAAAAAAAATTTTGAAATTTCATCGTTTTAGTAAGAAGGTACCCCCCTTATGATTTTTTTGGAAAACTTTGAAAGGTCATAACTTTTTTTCTATAATAGATAGAAAGCTGAATCTTTCACTGAGTTTCATCCCTTTCAAAGGACTACAATCCCTGAAAATTTCAGCTCATTTGCACTTATAGTTCCTGAGATAAAATCGTGTTAAGCAATTTGGGGTGATTTATCAATTTTTCAATTTTTCTGAGTGTTTTTTTCATAGATTTCGGCTTCAAATCTGAGAATAATTTTGTGTATGGAGTTTAGGGTATGTTGATTGACCATTAGGATACAAAATCTCGAGAAAAAAAAATTTGAAATTTCATCGTTTTAGTAAGAAGGTACCCCCCTTATGATTTTTATGGAAAACTTTGAAAGGTCATAACTTTTTTTCTATTATAGATAAAAAGCTGAATCTTTCACTGAATTTTATCCCTTCCAAAGGACTATAATCCCTGAAAATTTCAGCTCATTTGCACTTATAGTTCCTGAGATAAAATCGTGTTAGGCGATTTGGGGTGATTTATCAATTTTTCAATTTTTCTGAGTGCCTTTTTTCATAGATTTCGGCTTCAAATCTGAGTATAATTTTGTGTATGGAGTTTGGGGTATGTTGATTGACCATAAGGATACAAAATCTCGACAAAAAAAAAATTTGAAATTTCATCGTTTTAGTAAGAAGGTACCCCCCTTATGATTTTTTTGGAAAACTTTGAAAGGTCATAACTTTTTTTCTATTATAGATAGAAAGCTGAATCTTTCACTGAATTTTATCCCTTCCAAAGGACTATAATCCCTGAAAATTTCAGCTCATTTGCACTTATAGTTCCTGAGATAAAATCGTGTTAAGCAATTTGGGGTGATTTATCAATTTTTCAATTTTTCTGAGTGTTTTTTTCATAGATTTCGGCTTCAAATCTGAGGATAATTTTGTGTGTGGAGTTTGGCGGATGTTAATTGACCATTAGGACACAAAATCTCGACAAAGAAAAATTTGAAATTTCATCGTTTTAGTAAGAAGGTACCCCCCTTATGATTTTTATGGAAAACTTTGAAAGGTCATAACTTTTTTTCTATTATAGATAAAAAGCTGAATCTTTCACTGAATTTTATCCCTTCCAAAGGACTACAATCCCTAAAAATTTCAGCTCATTTGCACTTATAGTTCCTGAGATAAAATCGTGTTAAGCAATTTGGGGTGATTTATCAATTTTTCAATTTTTCTGAGTGTTTTTTTCATAGATTTCGGCTTCAAATCTGAGAATAATTTTGTGTATGGAGTTTAGGGTATGTTGATTGACCATTAGGATACAAAATCTCGAGAAAAAAAAATTTGAAATTTCATCGTTTTAGTAAGAAGGTACCCCCCTTATGATTTTTATGGAAAACTTTGAAAGGTCATAACTTTTTTTCTATTATAGATAAAAAGCTGAATCTTTCACTGAATTTTATCCCTTCCAAAGGACTATAATCCCTGAAAATTTCAGCTCATTTGCACTTATAGTTCCTGAGATAAAATCGTGTTAAGCAATTTGGGGTGATTTATCAATTTTTCAATTTTTCTGAGTGCCTTTTTTCATAGATTTCGGCTTCAAATCTGAGAATAATTTTGTGTATGGAGTTTGGGGTATGTTGATTGACCATAAGGATACAAAATCTCGACAAAAAAAAAATTTGAAATTTCATCGTTTTAGTAAGAAGGTACCCCCCTTATGATTTTTTTGGAAAACTTTGAAAGGTCATAACTTTTTTTTCTATTATAGATAGAAAGCTGAATCTTTCACTGAATTTTATCCCTTCCAAAGGACTACAATCCCTAAAAATTTCAGCTCATTTGCACTTATAGTTCCTGAGATAAAATCGTGTTAAGCAATTTGGGGTGATTTATCAATTTTTCAATTTTTCTGAGTGTTTTTTTTCATAGATTTCGGCTTCAAATCTGAGAATAATTTTGTGTATGGAGTTTAGGGTATGTTGATTGACCATTAGGATACAAAATCTCGAGAAAAAAAAATTTGAAATTTCATCGTTTTAGTAAGAAGGTACCCCCCTTATGATTTTTATGGAAAACTTTGAAAGGTCATAACTTTTTTTCTATTATAGATAAAAAGCTGAATCTTTCACTGAATTTTATCCCTTCCAAAGGACTATAATCCCTGAAAATTTCAGCTCATTTGCACTTATAGTTCCTGAGATAAAATCGTGTTAAGCAATTTGGGGTGATTTATCAATTTTTCAATTTTTCTGAGTGCCTTTTTTCATAGATTTCGGCTTCAAATCTGAGAATAATTTTGTGTATGGAGTTTGGGGTATGTTGATTGACCATAAGGATACAAAATCTCGACAAAAAAAAAATTTGAAATTTCATCGTTTTAGTAAGAAGGTACCCCCCCTTATGATTTTTATGGAAAACTTTGAAAGGTCATAACTTTTTTTCTATTATAGATAAAAAGCTGAATCTTTCACTGAATTTTATCCCTTCCAAAGGACTATAATCCCTGAAAATTTCAGCTCATTTGCACTTATAGTTCCTGAGATAAAATCGTGTTAAGCAATTTGGGGTGATTTATCAATTTTTCAATTTTTCTGAGTGCCTTTTTTCATAGATTTCGGCTTCAAATCTGAGAATAATTTTGTGTATGGAGTTTGGGGTATGTTGATTGACCATAAGGATACAAAATCTCGACAAAAAAAAAATTTGAAATTTCATCGTTTTAGTAAGAAGGTACCCCCCTTATGATTTTTTTGGAAAACTTTGAAAGGTCATAACTTTTTTTCTATAATAGATAGAAAGCTGAATCTTTCACTGAATTTCATCCCTTTCAAAGGACTACAATCCCTGAAAATTTCAGCTCATTTGCACTTATAGTTCCTGAGATAAAATCGTGTTAAGCAATTTGGGGTGATTTATCAATTTTTCAATTTTTCTGAGTGCCTTTTTTCATAGATTTCGGCTTCAAATCTGAGAATAATTTTGTGTATGGAGTTAAGGGTATGTTGATTGACCATTAGGATACAAAATCTCGAGAAAAAAAATTTTGAAATTTCATCGTTTTAGTAAGAAGGTACCCCCCTTATGATTTTTTTGGAAAACTTTGAAAGGTCATAACTTTTTTTCTATAATAGATAGAAAGCTGAATCTTTCACTGAGTTTCATCCCTTTCAAAGGACTACAATCCCTGAAAATTTCAGCTCATTTGCACTTATAGTTCCTGAGATAAAATCGTGTTAAGCAATTTGGGGTGATTTATCAATTTTTCAATTTTTCTGAGTGTTTTTTTCATAGATTTCGGCTTCAAATCTGAGAATAATTTTGTGTATGGAGTTTAGGGTATGTTGATTGACCATTAGGATACAAAATCTCGAGAAAAAAAAATTTGAAATTTCATCGTTTTAGTAAGAAGGTACCCCCCTTATGATTTTTATGGAAAACTTTGAAAGGTCATAACTTTTTTTCTATTATAGATAAAAAGCTGAATCTTTCACTGAATTTTATCCCTTCCAAAGGACTATAATCCCTGAAAATTTCAGCTCATTTGCACTTATAGTTCCTGAGATAAAATCGTGTTAGGCGATTTGGGGTGATTTATCAATTTTTCAATTTTTCTGAGTGCCTTTTTTCATAGATTTCGGCTTCAAATCTGAGTATAATTTTGTGTATGGAGTTTGGGGTATGTTGATTGACCATAAGGATACAAAATCTCGACAAAAAAAAAATTTGAAATTTCATCGTTTTAGTAAGAAGGTACCCCCCTTATGATTTTTTTGGAAAACTTTGAAAGGTCATAACTTTTTTTCTATTATAGATAGAAAGCTGAATCTTTCACTGAATTTTATCCCTTCCAAAGGACTATAATCCCTGAAAATTTCAGCTCATTTGCACTTATAGTTCCTGAGATAAAATCGTGTTAAGCAATTTGGGGTGATTTATCAATTTTTCAATTTTTCTGAGTGTTTTTTTCATAGATTTCGGCTTCAAATCTGAGAATAATTTTGTGTGTGGAGTTTGGCGGATGTTAATTGACCATTAGGACACAAAATCTCGACAAAGAAAAATTTGAAATTTCATCGTTTTAGTAAGAAGGTACCCCCCTTATGATTTTTATGGAAAACTTTGAAAGGTCATAACTTTTTTTCTATTATAGATAAAAAGCTGAATCTTTCACTGAATTTTATCCCTTCCAAAGGACTACAATCCCTAAAAATTTCAGCTCATTTGCACTTATAGTTCCTGAGATAAAATCGTGTTAAGCAATTTGGGGTGATTTATCAATTTTTCAATTTTTCTGAGTGTTTTTTTCATAGATTTCGGCTTCAAATCTGAGAATAATTTTGTGTATGGAGTTTAGGGTATGTTGATTGACCATTAGGATACAAAATCTCGAGAAAAAAAAATTTGAAATTTCATCGTTTTAGTAAGAAGGTACCCCCCCTTATGATTTTTTTGGAAAACTTTGAAAGGTCATAACTTTTTTTCTATAATAGATAGAAAGCTGAATCTTTCACTGAATTTCATCCCTTTCAAAGGACTACAATCCCTGAAAATTTCAGCTCATTTGCACTTATAGTTCCTGAGATAAAATCGTGTTAAGCAATTTGGGGTGATTTATCAATTTTTCAATTTTTCTGAGTGTTTTTTTCATAGATTTCGGCTTCAAATCTGAGAATAATTTTGTGTATGGAGTTTAGGGTATGTTGATTGACCATTAGGATACAAAATCTCGAGAAAAAAAAATTTGAAATTTCATCGTTTTAGTAAGAAGGTACCCCCCTTATGATTTTTTTGGAAAACTTTGAAAGGTCATAACTTTTTTTCTATAATAGATAGAAAGCTGAATCTTTCACTGAGTTTCATCCCTTTCAAAGGACTACAATCCCTGAAAATTTCAGCTCATTTGCACTTATAGTTCCTGAGATAAAATCGTGTTAAGCAATTTGGGGTGATTTATCAATTTTTCAATTTTTCTGAGTGCCTTTTTTCATAGATTTCGACTTCAAATCTGAGAATAATTTTGTGTATGGAGTTAAGGGTATGTTGATTGACCATTAGGATACAAAATCTCGAGAAAAAAAAATTTGAAATTTCATCGTTTTAGTAAGAAGGTACCCCCCTTATGATTTTTTTGGAAAACTTTGAAAGGTCATAACTTTTTTTCTATAATAGATAGAAAGCTGAATCTTTCACTGAATTGTATCCCTTCCAAAGGACTATAATCCCTGAAAATTTCAGCTCATTTGCACTTATAGTTCCTGAGATAAAATCGTGTTAAGCAATTTGGGGTGATTTATCAATTTTTCAATTTTTCTGAGTGCCTTTTTTTATAGATTTCGACTTCAAATCTGAGAATAATTTTGTGTATGGAGTTCAGGGTATCACGAAGGACCATAAGGACCCAAAATCTCGACAAAAAAAAAATTGAAATTTCATCATTTTAGTAAGAAGGTACCCCCCTTATGATTTTTTCGGAAAACTTTCAAATGTCGTAACTTTTTTTCTATTATAGATAGAAAGCTGATTCTTTCACACTGAATTTCATCCCTTCCAAAGGACTACAATCCCTGAAAATTTCAGCTCATTTGCACTTATAGTTCCTGAGATAAAATCGTGTTAAGCAATTTGGGGTGATTTATCAATTTTTCAATTTTTCTGAGTGTCTCTTTTCATAGATTTCGGCTTCAAATCTGAGAATAATTTCGTGTATGAAGTTTGGAGTATGTTGATTGACCATAAGGATACAAAATCCCGACAAAAAAAAATTTGAAATTTCATCGTTTTAGTAAGAAGGTACCCCCTTATGATTTTTTTGGAAAACTTTGAAAGGTCATAACTTACAAGTGAATAATCGGGTACACCACCGTCTGGACCAACTCCAGAAATAGGTGCGTGAAGTCCGTGTTGATTCGGATCAGCCAATTTGAAAGTTCTTCCATAGAACCCGACTCCGATTGCGATTTTGTTCCTTTGAGCTCCAGCGTTCAGCCAGTTTTGGGCCGAAGCTGCCACATTGTTGTTGCTCTTTTCCCAGTCGCTTTCCACTGAAGAAGCGAAAAGGGCCGAGTTTTGACCAGTGTAGCTGCTCCAAGGGCCATAGTAATCATACGTCATCAAATTGATGATATCTAAGTAACTATAAATGAATTAGATGATTGCAAATTGAATTGAAATACTAACTTGTTCATTTGTCCAACGTCATAGCCGTCGCTGGGGTTAGCCGCCACTGCCGCCGTCACTAGCCAGCCTTTTGGTTGAAAGGCCGCCTTGGTTTCTCTAAGTAAGGTGATATAATTTGCCCTATCCGCTGCTGTAGGATATTCCCAATCAATATCCAAACCATCAAAATGATAAGTGGAAATAAAATACGAGGCACTGCCAATGAATGCGCCTCGTTTTTGAGGATCTGCGGCAATATTAGCAAAAATCTCGGTACCAGCCGAGGCTCCGCCGACACTCAGAAGCACCTTAAGGTTGGGATTCCGTTTTTTGAGGTCCGTGATTCTGTAGAAGAGGCCTTCAAACACAATTTGGTTACCATTTCTTACCAAACTAATAAATTACCTTGACTTATTTCCAAATTATCGTCGGCCACTTTGAGATTTCCGTTGTCCCACATGCTAATGAAAGCGTAGTTTAGGTGAGTGAGTAAACTGGCATCGAGGATTTCTGGCGTGATGCCTTGGTAAGCCAGCCAGCTTGCGTAATAGCCAATAACCGCAACTATGTAGAAGGGCCTTAATTTTATTGGTATTTATTTAATTGTTTGTAGTCTTACCTGAATTGACACTATAAACTAATGCCGCTAGGCACAATGAAGTCACTAGTAGATGAACCATTTTCACTGCTATATTTTCCACACATATTGCAAGGGCCTTTTATATGAAATATTAAAGCGGAGGCTCTTATCATGGGATACCAGTGACAGTGGGTAAATTTTTTTCTAAGGTTTTTGCACTGTATTTTATGTAAATTGACGCAAGCAATTGACGACATCTAAGGTTAACAAACATAGTTTGTAGGACACTGTTGTTTTTTTTTATTAATTTTTGTCCCTTTTTGCAAAATTTTGGGGATCCTACCACTGGTTATAATTGTATAATTAATGCATTATTGATAACATAAAAAAAATGAGTTGAAACACCTGAATAATGATTGCGCTTTTTTTTTAAATGGATATTTTTATCTTGTAAAAATGGTTGTTTATGTCATTAAAAAGATTGCTCCACTTTGAAAGTTACTCTGGACATTTAAGTTACTCCCAAGCAACTTCAGATAATTTGGAATGGATTTTCCAGAGCTTTGGAGTAAAATCTGTCAAAGTACCTTCAAATTGCTTCAGATACTTGAAAAAAAACCTGTTAAATCTCCCTATGGACAGTTGTCATATTTTTTCACAGTTTTCCATTTCCATTTGCACGATAAAATTGCCCAAAATCGTGCGACTGAAACCTCATTTTCAATGCGTATAAGTGTGTTTTGGGCCTTATTTACACACAAAATCTTCGAAATCATACCCTCTAATGAGTCAGCACATTTTTAAAAATATTTACTATTTAAAAATCCGTTATCGATTAATTTACGTTTTTTTTTTTGCCTGATGTTTACATTGAGTTTATCTTGTTTATACAAGAAAGATCGAAAAATGGTGGCGTATTTACTTCACGTAATTTGATGTCTCTGGTTGTTTTTTTGGAAATTTTCCAGTTCATTTCGGCATTTCAAATGGATTTGTAGTGTTTGGGGCACATAAAAATCTCCGAGATCAGAAATTTCCTTCTGAGTCAGCGCAATTTTATGAATAATTATTATTTTAAATAATTTGGTGAGTCCATGATAAATAATTATGGATATTCTACTTTAGGTCTGTTTGCACAACAATCACAAACCAGTCAGAGTGAATTTCATTGGTTGAAACGTGTTGAAACTAGTTTGTGATTGCTGTAGGAACAGACCTTTCATTAGCCTCAATATTAATTTTTTCTTTATTCTAATTGTGATTTCTTTTTGTTTTAGGTTGAAAATGCCGGCAAGAAAATTTGATGGTAAATGCTTAGTTAGTTGTATTTTGTTTTTCCTGAGGTGAATCTGAGGCTCAGAAATGAAATTATGGTTTGTTTCCAATCCCAATGTTAGAAAAATTTGTAGAAACTTTTTTTAAATACTCTGAGCAATCAGAGCGATTCCAAACTTTCAGGATTCATTAATTAGGGTCTTTTCCATAAGAAAAACAAACCAGAAGTGAATCTGAGGCTCAGAAATAAAATTATGGTTTGTTTTCAATGTCAACACTTAAAAAGTTGTAAAATTCTTGCTAAACCATCTTTGAAAGTATCTGAAAAAAACTTGAAGCAATCAGAGGATTTTCAAACTTTCAAGACTTATCAGTGATGCCAGGTCTGGTGAAATTTCACCAGATCTGGTGATTTTGTGAAATTTTTTTTGAAAAATGGCAATTTCTGGTGATTTTGAAATTAATCAATTTTGAATATTTTTAACAATGGCCTACACTTTATAAACATCCCTCATAATGTATTAAAATTTTACTTCATTAACATGCAAATTTCATTTGTTTGACAGAAAACCAAATACCCATAAGTGGTGTGTGAGGTCCTTTGTTTTTTATATAAATTTGTATTTGTTCTTTTGATATATTTAGTTTCCCTTTTCATATTTCAATTTCTGTTTATTCCAGGCTCTCGTTGCTATTGGCCGGTTATTTTTCAAGTTGGCAACATGTATTTTGTTTGGCCAGTGGCGTTGCTTATGGGGGATTTAGTCAAACCAAAACTCGAAATTTTTATTTTTCATATTTTCGAAATTTTGACTTTTCTAATTGATTCAGCGGGTTTGAATTATTCGAAAAAAATTCTAACATTTCTTTCAAAATGGCGATTTCAAAAAGCTAAAAATCTCAATTTTCGTTCTGGAAATTTTTTCAAATTTTGACAAGGTTAGGAATAATGGCCAATATCTTATATATGGTTGGAAAAAACATTAAATTCTCTATAAATCTATGCTAAATTGGTTCAGATAACTCGAATACTTTCTGGGCAATTGGATCTCAAAGTTAACTTTTAGTCCAATTCAAACTCGATTTTCTCGAAAACCATAAGAGCTAGCGATTTTAACTAAATACCATTTTAAAGCCCTAAAGCGTTACATTTCCTGAAAATTTTAGATATAGATATCCAAGATCAAATATTTTGAAATAGAAATCTAAAGGAGTAACCCTTTCAAAAATTCGAAATTTTTATTGTTCATATTTATTGAATTTTGACTTTTCCAATCGATAGAGCGGATCAAAATTAGTCGAAAAAACCTCTAATATCATTACAAAATCTTGATTTCAACACAGAGAAAAATTAAAAAGAAAATCTCAATTTTTAGGTTTAATTTTTTTTTGAATCCTGATAAGGTTAGGAGCAATTGCCCATACTTCTATTAAATTGTGAGCAAATCAAAATAAATTACATATGGTTGGAAAGAGCATCAAATTCTCTATAAATCAGCGCTAGATTGAGTTTGATAACTCAAATATTTTTAGAGCAATTGAGCCTCAAACTTGGATTTTAGTTAAAATTTAGTCAAAAACTTCAAACTCGATTTTCTTAAAAACCGTAAACGCCAGCGACTTCAACTAAGTACCATTTCAAAGCTCTCATCAAGGGCTACAATCCTAAAAAAAATTGATCCAAAATCTTTAAGAGGTTTCGAGAAAATTGAGTTTGAAAATTTTGAAATTAAAATCCAAAGGGTAACCCTTTGAAAAAATCGAAATTTTTATTTTTCAGATTTTTCAAATTTTGACTTTTCCAATCGATAGAGCGGGTCTAAAATAGTCGAAAAAAACTCTAACATCATTACAAAATCTTGATTTCAATATAAAGAAAAATTAAAAAGAAAATCTCAATTTTTAGGTTTAAATTTTTTTTGAATCCTGACAAGGTTAGGAGCAATTGCCAATACTTCTATTAAATTGTGAGCAAATCAAAATAAATTACATATGGTTGGAAAGAGCATCAAATTCTCTATAAATCCGTGCTAGATTGAGTTTGATAACTCAAATATGTTTAGAGCAATTGAGCCTCAAAGTTGGATTTTAGTTAAAATTTAGTCAAAAACTTCAAACTCGATTTTCTTAAAAACCGTAAATGCCAGCGACTTCAACTAAGTACCATTTCAAAGCTCTCATCAAGGGCTACAATCCTAAAAAAAATTGATCCAAAATCTTCAATGGGTTTTGAGAAAATTGAGTTAGGAAGTTTTGAAATTAAAATCCAAAGGGGTAACCCTTTGAAAAAATCGAAATTTTTATTTTTCAGATTTTTCAAATTTTGACTTTTCCAATCGATAGAGCGGGTCCAAAATAGTCGAAAAAAACTCTAACATCATTACAAAATCTTGATTTCAACACAGAGAAAAATTAAAAAGAAAATCTCAATTTTTAGGTTTAATTTTTTTTTGAATCCTGACAAGGTTAGGAGCAATTGCCAATACTTCTATTAAATTTTGAGCAAATCAAAATAAATTATACATGGTTGGAAAGAGCATCAAATTCTCTATAAATCAGTGCTAGATTGAGTTTGATAACTCAAATATTTTTAGAGCAATTGAGCCTCAAAGTTGGATTTTAGTTAAAATTTAGTCAAAAACTTCAAACTCGATTTTCTCAAAAACCGTAAATGCCAGCGACTTCAACTAAGTACCATTTCAAAGCTCTCATCAAGGGCTACAATCCTAAAAAAAATTGATCCAAAATCTTCAATGGGTTTTGAGAAAATTGAGTTAGGAAGTTTTGAAATTAAAATCCAAAGGGGTAACCCTTTGAAAAAATCGAAATTTTTATTTTTCAGATTTTGCAAATTTTGACTTTTCCAATCGATAGAGCGTGTCTAAATTAGTCGAAAAAACCTCTAATATCATTACAAAATCTTGATTTCAACACAGAGAAAAATTAAATAGAAAATCTCAATTTTTAGGTTTATTTTTTTTTGAATCCTGACAAGGTTAGGAGCAATTGCCAATACTTCTATTAAATTTTGAGCAAATCAAAATAAATTATACATGGTTGGAAAGAGCATCAAATTCTCTATAAATCAGTGCTAAATTGAAATTGATAACTCAAATACTTTTAGAGCAATTGAGCCTCAAAGTTGGATTTTAGTTAAAATTTAGTCAAAAACTTCAAACTCGATTTTCTCAAAAACCGTAAATGCCACCGACTTCAACTAAGTACCAATTCAAAGCTCTCATCAAGGGCTACAATCCTAAAAAAAATTGATCCAAAATCTTTGAGAGGTTTCGAGAAAATTGAGTTTGAAAATTTTGAAATTAAAATCCAAAGGGTAACACTTTGAAAAAATCGAAATTTTTATTTTTCAGATTTTTCAAATTTTGACTTTTCCAATCGATAGAGCGGGTCCAAAATAGTCGAAAAAAACTCTAACATCATTACAAAATCTTGATTTCAATATAAAGAAAAATTAAAAAGAAAATCTCAATTTTTAGGTTTAATTTTTTTTTGAATCCTGACAAGGTTAGGAGCAATTGCCAATACTTCTATTAAATTTTGAGCAAATCAAAATAAATTATACATGGTTGGAAAGAGCATCAAATTCTCTATAAATCAGTGCTAGATTGAGTTTGATAACTCAAATACTTTTAGAGCAATTGAGCCTCAAAGTTGGATTTTAATTAAAATTTAGTCAAAAACTTCAAACTCGATTTTCTCAAAAACCGTAAATGCCAGCGACTTCAACTAAGTACCATTTCAAAGCTCTCATCAAGGGCTACAATCCTAAAAAAAATTGATCCAAAATCTTTGAGAGGTTTCGAGAAAATTGAGTTT